ATATATATACAGTATATACGTTGATTCAAATTACAATCTAGTACTGTTTATTGCAATTTTAGCCACTTCTTTCTAATCAAATTCAGTTTAATTCATCTCAACATGAGTCCAAGTTATTATAGTTCAGTTTTCTCCAGTTAAACCACAGTCATTGAACCAGACGAGTGCCAGACTTCATCATGGGACGTCTTTGAACAAAACAGCCATATGGCAGCAAAGATTTGTCTAAGGGACACTGAATCAGCCTTACCTTTTCAGCTTCATCTAACAGGTACTTTGTAAATCAAATTCTAAATGTAGGTTGTTYAACTTCTGTACACAAAATTGGAACTGGATCTACAAGAAAGCAAGCCTGAGACTGAAAGCCTCTGTCTCTTTCATTTTGCTTTTAGATATTCTAGGAAGAACAAGTAAGCCTGCAGCCTGAGAGCAAAGAGTGGAAAGTGCTCTATGGGGAAAAGTTGCAACTATTAGGTATTTAAAATACAGGAGCGCCGGGTCATTAAAAGCTTTACTTAATGCCAAGGACGTCATTATCACATAAGTATCACAGTTCATTTTAGTGCTGGTTACTGATCTTATTATCTTTCAGGCTTTCACACAATTCTTTCAAATTCCTACAGATTAGTTCCCTGTTAAAGCCYTTACATCAGGTTTTTGTAGAGAAAACATGAATACTGACTCTTACATCTTGTTAGTGGCAACATCCCTGCAAATTCAGTTTTTGTTGAGCTTTACAAGGGCTTCTTTATGGGGCACGATTTCATTTCATAGCTTTAAAAAAGAAAGAAGAAAAAAAAGGCACCGGTGTTTGCTAGCTAATGACATTATGGCTCTGTTCTGTTCAAGCACCCCAGTCAGCCATGACAGTGTGACAGCAAGCCAGCAGGAACCACACCAGGACCGTGAAACTGAAGCAGCTAAATGAATTCAGCCATCTGCAAATATGCTTTTCCAAGTGTAACACGTGAAAATGGATTTTATAACAGATGGCCCACACTGCATTTTACCTGAAACACAGTGCTATTATGATAATTGGGATCTTTCTTTTTTGCCTCCCTTTGAAGATATTTTATGCGTATTAAAGATATGCTTTCGAATTTCAAAAAGCCCAAGTCTGAAATGAAGCTAGCAGTTTAAAAAAAGAAAATGATGGATGTTAAATGTAAAAGGTGACAGATGAAATTACAGGATTTAAAAGTGACAATGCAGCAGCAGCCTTTTACAGTATTTCAATGGTGAGAGCTCTAATTTATTTTTCATTGCTTTTAAATTTAAACCCAGCTTGTCTGTAAATGACTTTCTTAGAAGGTAATCAGTTTCTGTACAGTCACACATCTTAATTTATGTGCATTTGGGTTATGTTAGTCTCTTGTTTTTAGAGTATGAAAAGTCCAGGTAATCTTTATAAAAAATTATATTAGACATTGCATTGATTAAACACATATGTCAATATGGTCTGAGCCAAAGAAGCTGTATCAAGTTTAAACACATCTATATGTCATTTCCTGGTTTAGGTGTGTCAGAGGAGATGATCTCAGTTACTTTAATCCACCTTTTATGTTAGTACTCTAATGCTGCATTGTTTCAGGAGACAGGAAGTACTGTATGTTAAAAAGTTACATTCAGTTAACAAACTCATTTGTTGATCACAAAGACCACGAGTTGATTAACCTCAGAAAGTTTGATGTAGCTTCATGCTTATCTACATAGGATCTTTTTTTGGTCCATATTATTTCATGTAATACATATTAAACATACTTTAGTGCCAGTGGAGTTCTATGTCGTGCTTTAATAGAGTAAGGAGGTCTTAAATCAGGAAGTGGCCTCTTGAATCTCTTGAATCCTTTGAAGTTCTGCATAATTATTTTCTGATTTATTGTACTTAAAGAAGATTTGATGGGTTTTTAAATTGCCACTGCAGCTTGTCACATTAGCAAGTTCAAGGGTTTTATTACAACATTAATATGTGCGGGTGCAGTCCTCGCGATTATAGGCTGCCACTGTCAGAGCACTCTGAGCACATTTCAGTTTTTGTTTTTTTTTTTACAGACAGGGTCACTAATGTAGATTTTTACTACTTCACAAAATTACTATTAAAAAATGAGTTCACTGCATTCGATTGTGTAAAGTGACCCCTTCCAAAAACACATGAGAAACCTTTTGTTCTGTTGTGTTGGCTGCATTTTAATGCTTTAAAATATATTTACCGGTAAACAAGTTTCCTTGTTTTCTTGACTTTGATGTTTTTCTCGTCAGGACTTCATTTTCAAGGTTTTTCCAGCGGGCCAAAGATTTGCATAATTTGATTTTTATTTTAAGCTCAACACTTCATGTCATGGATAAAGTTACCAAGATTAAAGGAATTACTCTACATCTTTGATGTAAGGTTTCATGAATTTTTTTCATTCATAATCAGTGCTTTACCTGCAGTAGATCACTTTGAAGAGGCACACATAAGCGCCAGCACAGATACTGATCAATGGATAGAGGCAGCATCAAATAGATTTTGGGTGGTTGTGCTGTATTTGAAATATTTTCCCCCATTTTTCCAAAGTAAATGTAAAGCTAATAAAGTTATCTGTATAAGATCTCTTCCGATCTTCAAAGCCACCGGGCTCCTTTGACAAAAATATGTATTAAACTTGACAGAAGAGTTATTGTGGATTCATTAAATCAAATTTATTATGTTATGGCCGTCCTGACTCAGAGGTGGAGTAGCTTAAATTCTGGGCTGGGTTGTCTTTCTTTACACTAATATCTCAACTGGCTGCGACTGTTGCCAATTAGGCACCAAATGCCATTTGTGAGTCTCAAGTCTCTCAAAGCTTTTGTGGGTTTTCTCAATTTTCTTGCATGAGTTGTAGAGCTGTGCAAGCTTATTGTTTTGAGCTTGTTCAAAAATATAGTGGGACACATTGTACCTTCGGAGTTGCTGACAGTGTCTCAGACTCTTAACTATTTTGTTGTGGTGGCTCCAACCAGTCTCGAGCACTAGTACATCAATGATCAGTAATAACTGAAAAAATCTGTCTTGTGTCTACTTGAATCTGCAGATAAAAATGAGCTTTCAGGTGTATCTGGTACAGTGTATAGATTGTGCTTTGTCCGTATTAAATAAACAGTAAAACTCTTTGATTGTGTTGGAATTACCTCCACTTAGTCTTTGATTTAAAGTGTTCCTTCTAATATCGTGTCGGAGTGCTTAGCAGGACAAGGGGCAAAAGCACAGAGAAGGATGGCCTCATTAAAGTCTCCGTAAAGCAGCGAGCTGAAGTGTGGCGACACATCTGCAGCAGGTCCCCTCTAATAGCTCAATATTTCATTTAGGAAAACTCCCTGTCAGAACTGACATGATGTATGACAATGTCTCTTTCACCCCAACCTTGTCCCTCTCACGCTCTCATCTTTACTAATGTCTCTTCTTCCTGTCCTCCCTCTTCTCTTCCTCTCTGCAGTTTGACAAAGCATATGCCTACAGCATCCGCCACATGTTTGGCAAAGAAGGCAAGCGAACGGACTACACACCTTACAGCTGCATGAAGGTGATTTTATCAAACCAACCCGGCCCAGGCGACAGTCATGGTAAGCAGACGGCCGCAGAAAGAAGTTGTTCAGCTGTTCTAATCAAGCGTTTTATTCGGAGTACTGGCTTGGAAGAAGGGATAGCAGTGGTTCTGGCCCAAATTTTCTGCTCTGTAGTTTTTCAGCTTTTCAGTTTCTTTCTGTCTGTGATAATGCTCTCTTAACAGTTGATTTACATATATTTATCTTAATAACATTTTTGATATTTACAGGATGTCCATTCCGCCACAGTGACCCAGAGCTGCTGAAGCAGAAGCTTCAAGTCTACAAAGTGTCTCCCAGTGGAGTCAATCAGGTGGGTTCTTATGCTGTCTGTGGTCACAGTGAACATAATTATTTGCCTCTTTCCTGGGAAATGTTAAGTATTACATCTCTTCTGCTTTCCACAAAAAAGTAGCCAAGACGTTTGAAAAATTGTCTTTTTTTATTTGTTTTTATGTTCTTTGTTGGTAAAAACCCTTCTAGGGATGTGCATCACAAATTATCCTAGGTCAGCGGTTCCTAAACTTTTTATCTTCTGACCCACAAAATATTCATGGCAAAAACTTGTGACCCCAAARATTACTGGTCTGAGTACACAAACTTTGTTAATAACCCTAAAAACAAAGGCTACACAAGTATAAATACTTATTTATACTTATTTTGTGTTTTTGTAATAATTATAG